CACCCCTTTGTTTATTTTATATGTGTTCTGCTATCCTTCCATCTCATGGTTTAAGGTGATTTTGAGACGGTAGGTTTCCATGCCATACCCACCTTCCTTCAGGTTAGCCCATTCCTTCAATCCCTGGTTTCACCAGATTCCCACAGTAGTAGACAACAGTCAATAGAGAGAGATAGACCTGGCCAAAGTGCTGAAATTATGTGTTCAACCCTAATGATTCCTCTGTATTAACCCCACTACCCTAGGGCTTAGGGGACATCAGAGAGGCAGAAACAGAACTGAAGAGTAAGGAGGAGTTTTGATGGGTGCTGTTTTCTGGACATGACATGGCTAATGTAATCATGAATTCATGGAAGCTAGGGATACCTGCACAAGATCAAGCCAGTCAAAATTCTGGCTTGGATAGGGTAGATGGTCTCCAGGCCCCACCCTCAGCAAAGATCGATTGGTGGGAATAGTTGCTGGGACGTCAATCATTCTTGTTAATGGTGTGGCTGCTGATAGATTGTCTGTGCTCCAGGAATGACTCTACACCCTTGCACATATAGACGATACTAACTCAACTTAGTGGGTTATTAAAAAAAAAAGTACATGAAATTGGGACAGGGAATATATTGGAGGACAATGGGGAGAGCTAGAAAGGTGGAAATGGGAGTAGATATGATCATATTTCATTGTATACATGTATGAAATTCTCAAAAGTAAAGAAAACCTGGCCTAGGACTTACCTCCCATCCCTTTCTGCTTTCTGTCCTTCTGGGGACAAACATATTGTGATGGTTTATATATGCTCAGCTCAGGGAGTAGTATTATTAGAAGGTGTGGCCTTATTGGAAGAAGTGTGTCACTGTGGGCATGGGCTTTAATACCCTTGTCCTAGCTGCCTGGGAGCCAGTCTTCTGCTAGCATCCTTCAGCTGAAGATGTAGAACTCTCAGCTCCTCCTGCACCATGCCTGCCTGGATGCTGCCATGTTCCTGCCTTGATGATAATGGACTGAACCTCTGAACCTGTAAGTCAGCCCCAGTTAAATGCTGTTCTTGGTCATGGTGTCTGTTCACAGCAGTAAAACTCTCACTAAGACACATGTGTACAAACACTAACCCCATTCCTTGATTCTTTCTAAGCTCTGGATACAGAGCCACAGACCCAGTGCTATGGATGATGGACAGTCTCTGCACTGCCATTTCAATATCTCCGAGATGTCTGTTATGAGAAAATGCCTACTTTTCCAAAGTTCTTGCAATGCCAGCAGGGAGGTGTGTATGTCTCTCTGTGTGTGTGAGTCTCTCTCTCTCTCTCTCTCTGTGTCTCTGTGTATGTGTGTGTGGGTCTGTGTGTGTATCTGTTTGCGTGTGTCTCTCTGTGTGTGTGTGTGTGTCTGTGTGTGTGTGTGATATAGGGGGTAGCAGAGGTATATCTGCTGCCAGGAAGCTCTACTCCTGTAGCTCTGAGGTATGTCCAATGTAGACTTCACCCCCTTTCCCTTAATGTGTTCAAGCCTCTTGTGAACGTAGACATGGTAGGCACACAGTGCTGTCTTTTACTGCTTTTATTCCACTAACAATCCTACTATAGCTATCTGAGATCTGAAGTTGGAATGTATTATTTTTTCATCAGCACATGGATTATGAATTAGCAGAGCTGCTTTTCTAATGAAATGCTTTTTAGATTTTTAAAGTTTTACTTTATAAGTATTTTGTGTGCATGAATGTCTGTACATCACGTGTGGACCAGGTACCAGGAGAGATGCCTTCAGTCTGGTACATGAAGAGATCTGAATAGGGCATCACATCCCTTGCAACTGGATTTACACTATGTGGGTGCTAGGAACTGAACCAAGGTTCTCTGCAAGAGCTACAAGCATTTTTAACTGCTGGGCCATCTCTCCAGCCACTAGTGGCATTTCTTTTAAGTGGTTTAATGTGGTTTCTTCAAGTCTTTGCTAACAAATTATGTGACTTGATTTTTTTAACTTTACCTATATCATCATCATCGTCATCAATAATATTATTATAGATGAGGTCTCTTCTAGCCTAGGCTGGTCTCAACCTTTCTGTATAGTCAGGGATGACCTTAAACTTGATCCTTTCGCTTCTTCATCATGCTGAGATTTTTATCTGACACTAAGGTTGAACCCAGAGCCTTTTGCATGCTAGACAAGCACTCTACCAGTTAAGCTATGTCCTCACCCTGTGTCTACCTATCAGCAGTGATACTATAGTTTCAGACTTCTTCCTTGCAGTATAAACAGCAAATATGCAGGATGGGTTCAAAATTAGGAAGACTTAGCTGGAATCCCCTTCCTTCCTTTGCTTTATTTTGGGTGAATACTGGGATCTCTTGGTGTACTTGGTAAACATTACACAAATTGCCTGCTTGGTGATTAGGCATGTCCCACTCCTGCCTCTGGGTATGTTATGGCTCTCATTTCTGTTTAAAGACTAACTTTCAAAAAGCTACCTAGGGCCCAAAGGACAGATTGGCATGCTCCCCCCAAATGCCGAGGACCATGGCCCATGCTAGTCTCTGTCACTGTGCCAAACACCCAACCCTCTTCAGATGCCTTTGAAGTACTGGGTTAGCACTTCAGCATTTTAAACCTGAAGTGGTATGGAGAGGTCCCCTACTCAAAGAATCATTCAAAGTCCCCTCAAGGTTCCTTGCCTTGAAATAATTATTTTCAGCCCTGGATGAAGATGAGAACTATCTGCGGTTCCTTAGAAGGCATACATCACAGCCCCATCCACAAATCAGACTCTGTCAGGGTGGAATCCAGGAGTCAGGATGTTGTAAGCATCCCCAGTGGCTGGGATGCTTGGCTAGAGCTGAGAGTTGAGTTGAGATCTGGGAGTCTGTGATCCTTTAAGAGGTCTGTGGCTGGCTGCGAAGGCCTTGTACACAACCTCTCAGAAGTGAAAAGCTTTTGTGGCTATTTTCCATACCTGATCTAAATGCCCAGCTGCTTCTCAAGTCTCCTCCACACCATCCTCACAGAATGAACGTTTCGCTTTAGCTAGAATTCCAGGCCTATCCACCCTGCACCAGAGATAGCTTTGAATGCAACCTAACACGAAATTGTAAACTTTCTTAAGGCACTATGAGATTGTTTTGCATTTTCCCCTTGTTTTTAAATTTGGTTGTGTGTCTCTTGAGAGTGAACTGTGTAGATAACCTGTGGCAATGCCAAATGGTTGGATGTGTCCAATGATAGGAAACCAATCCCTCCTCCCTCTGGAAGCTCATATTATCTTTGAACAGGTTTAAGAGTCAAAGCTGTGAGGAAGATAAAGAGAAGCCATACCTTGAATACAAGTCATAAAACATGAAAAGCATTCACCAAGATCTTTATGTGAAAATTCTTCATTTTATAGAGGAAAGAATTCAGACAAAGTGATCTGATGTTTCTTGACCAAACTAACATAGGTAATGACCACTGGAAAATGAATGACCATACTTCCTGGTTCCCTGTTTCATGTCTGTTCTCAGAATATTTCCCTCAATCTCTTCTAGGTGACTTGAAGTGCACAGCTCAGGATTAATAGAACTAGTCCTTGGTGAAGGCTAGACCCTGACTCCCTCATGCACAATCACTGTAGATCACCCAAACAGCTTATCTCCTGTCCTACACCTTGGAGCAGAAAGTACCAGGAAAGCAAGTTTAGACGGCCATGTTGTAGCACACGAGTGCCTATCATTTCAGCACTCAGGAGGCTAAGGCAGGAGGCTAAATTTGAAGCTAGCCTGAGGAACACGGCAAGACCTTTTCTCAAAAACTCCTCCCTCTACAAGGTGGGGTGGGGACCAACAGGGTGGGGACCATTGGCTTAGCTTATCCTGCAGAGGGATAGGTGCAGGCACTGAGGGGAGGGCCACCAAGTGAGTGTTGCTTCCAGTCCCCTGGAAGGTGACAAGTGATAATAAACTTGTGGTAGTGAAAACTTGTGATAATAACATGTTGAAGACCTTTAATTATGCAGCATAGCTCTTGTGGTTATCCAGAGACTCCTGGTCCTTATCTTCTGGAATTATTAAGGCCAACACAATTATATGTGTGTGTGTGTGTGTGTGTGTGTGTGCATATATATATATACATACATATATATATATGTGTGTGTGTGTGTGTGTGTCTATATCTGTGTCTGTATCTATATCTAAATCTGTATCTATATAACCTTTTGAGCTTAGGTGCCTCATCTAATAACTGGAGTCAGAAATATCTAGCTTTGAACCATTGCATGCAGACCAGGTGGCCAGAAGAACTGGCATACAGACTATGTCCAGGAATTGGTGGCTCTCATGGTGTCACTTCAGAATATGTTTTCCAACTTCCCTCTGAAATTAGATTACGTTGGAATCTCATTTCCAGAGCTAATAAGAAGTGGGGCCTTTAGAGACTTAGCTAGAAGACCTAGGATATAGCTCAGTGGTCGAGAACTTGTCTAGAATGGGAGAAACCACGGATTTGATTCCCAGCACCCAAAATAAACAAACACAAATGATTAGGCCTCTGCCATCACAAACAGGTGAGCTCATTTCTAGGTTTCATCCATCAGTGAGTTAGACTGAAAACAGGGCTGCTATAACAGCCATTGGTGAGGTGTCTCATGCACAACTGTATCTTGCCAAATGATGCCTTGAATTATCTTGAAACACTGCTAGCAAGAAGGTCATTGTCATATATATATATACATATATATATATATATGTGTGTGTGTGTGTGTGTGTGTGTGTGTGTGTATGTGTGTGTGTGTACATATACACACGTACATATGTATATGTATATGTATATGTATATGTATATGTATATGTATATGTATATGTATATGTATATGTATATGTATATGTATCCCTCTACCTTGGAGTCAAACTGTGAGTCAGAATAAATCTCTTTTCTTGATACCTTATCCAGTCCTTGGCATTGTGTTCTTAGCAACAGTGGCCAGAGACTGGATGTCAGGAAGAGTTTAGGTTAAAATATGGTGATTTTTTTTTTCTTACCACGTCGTTCTGTTCTTTCAGAGGTATTTCAGATCCCGTGTCTCCCTCAAGGCTGACAGAATCAATGCACTCAGCCAGGGTGTCTTCAGTTACTTCTCCATTGAGGGGAGTCTGGTTGCCATCACAGGCCTCGGACTGGTCTAGAAGCCCTGTAGGGGTGGTCTCTGCACATGCAGCTGTGATCTCAGGCTGCTCTCCTGTGTGGTCAGCCGGTGCTGGCACATTTGAAGCTGTAGCTGGACCACACTGCACTTCTGCTGCGTCTTCAGCAGGGGAGTCACTGTTGGGCATCTCAGCAGCATCTTCTCCGACTCCGTTGGCTATGGCGTCACGAGCATCATCAGACATTTTAATATCTGTAAATGTGATCATAAACACGTGTGTTGGGAACATTCATTCAAAGCCTGTAGTAATTGAATTATACCTAATAGGGGTAAACAATCTTCTACCAAGCAGTAACACTTTGTGTCTTTGCGTATCTATTTTTCAACCCTAGACCTTGTGAGTGCTTTCTTACATGGCAATGGAAACTTTGGATGCCATTGAGGACCTGGACATGGGAAGGCTGCCTTCATTCCTCTGAGTGACCCTAACACAGTGATGAGTGTCCTCACTACTGTTCTCCTCAGTGGCCATGATGGGAAGCAGAGTGACATGTGGAGAAGAAGATGGCATGAAAGCAGAGGCAGAGACTGAAGTCATGTGCTTCGATGAGGATGGACGGGGGTGAGGCACAAGCCAAGGACTGAGGCAGCTACCAGAGACTGAAGAAGGCAAGAAAACAACTCTTCTCTTCAAGAGTCTAGGAGGGCCCAGCCCCACCACCATCTTGATCTAAGCCCAAGGAAAACCAGTGTCTGACCCAGTCAGACCTCTACACTGTGAGAGAGTAAATATGTGTTGTGTAAGTAATAGAATCTGCTTTAAGGGGCAGCCAGCATTGCAGATGGGGCTCTGATGGGAGTCAGTCTTGTGGTCAGACATGGCTCAAACTTCATCTGGTCTGGGAAAACGATTTTGAGGACAGCCTGGGCTACCTATGAAGAGACTATGTCTCAAAAAAAAGCAAACAAAAAAGAAAAGAACAAAAAATGGTTGATAACCACCAGAGTTATCCCAGATCCACATGGTGAAAAGAGAGAACGTCCTTCTGGGAGTGGTCCTCTGACTCCACAGGGAATCAGTGCAAGTGGGAACCCTCTGTACACGCCAACGAATGAATGGGTGAATGAATGAATGAAGGAGAACATTTTACCTGAAGAAAAAAATGTATCTGTTACTCGATTAATAAGTGCTATGAATTTTTGCAGCATCATCAACACACACAAGGACTTACAGACACACGTGACTCCTGGTGACCACAGTCCTTTGTAACAGGTTTTGTATACTACTTGCTCGCTGTGGTTCTCAAACGTGTACCTCCATTCCATGAACAGAAAATGGACAAGTGGATATTTTAGGGGCTCAAGGGAGGAGGAGTGGGAGTAATTGCTAACGCAGAGGAGGGTTTTCTTGGAGGCAACAGGAATATTCTACAGTTGAGGGGTGTCTGGCTGTGTAGATGTGATAATACACCAAAAACCACTGACCAGAATGCCTCAACACCGGAAACTACATAGCAAGTGGGTTTTATGATTTGTAAACAATAGTTTAATATGCTGATAAGTAATTCTAGTAGCTAAGTGGAAATTTTTCTACTACTTATTATTTCTCTCTCTCTCCCCCCTCCCTCTCTCCCCCCTTTCCTCCCTCCCTTCCTCCTTCCCTCCCTCCCTCCCTTCCCCTTCTCTCTCTCTTCTCTCTCCCTTCCTTTCTTCCTTCTTTTCTTCCTTCCTTTCTTTCCTGTTTTTTTTTTCTTAGACAGAGTTTCTCTGTGTAGCCCTGGCTGTCCCGGAACTTACTCTGTAGGAACTTACTAGGCTGGCCTCAAACTCAAAGATCCACCAGCCTCTTGCCTCCCATGTGCTGGGATTTCTTAACAGCAGGTCTCCTTGTCTTGCGTATTTCTTATAAGAAGTCCTACATGTCTTCCAATATCAGACTTTAAATCTCAGTGCTGTTATCCAGGAAAACGTCACCCCCTTAAGAATATATAGTATATAGAAGTCATGGACTCTAAGGAGAATCTACTCTGACCAGTTTCTCACTTCATCCTCATGCTTGTCTTTATGTCTTCAGACAGGTAGTTCTCGCCCTTTATCAAAGAAATTTATTTGCGGCAGATGGAGGCCATTTCAAAAACCCCCAAATGGTCAAAACTTGTCTGTGGGGGTTCCTGACCCCAGTTCGTACACTGACAATGCAACTCTCAAGGCTAAGACTCAAGAGACACCGTGGAAGGGAGGGCAGGGAGATTACACGAGCCAGTGGTCCAGGATGTCAGCTGTGAGATCATGTTTTCCATACAAGTCAGGGGAGCTGCACTCAAGAAATCTTAACGACATAGTCACCCAATCAAAACCCGTGTAATGACAACACCAGCGGACCAGCTCAAGTGGGAAGCAGAAGTCTCCCAAGCCTCTGCCCCTAAATGAAGAGCTCCAGGTGATTAATGGTTACTAAGGAGACAGCCTTCTTCAAGAATGAGCCCTCTGATAGGTTACCCAATCCCAAGCGGTCAGCGATAAACAAATAGACATATGAACAACACTGGGTGGACTCAGCAGGTACGTACACACGTGTATGCACAGCCTTACATATATACCTACATATGGAATAATAATTAAAGAAGAGGGTAGGGATTTGAGGAGTGGGACGGCATGTGAGGAGGGGGGAGAACAGTGGCAATGATATAAATAATGTACTCGTGCATAAAATTCTCAAATCAAAACTTTAAATTAAAACAGAGACTTTAAAAACACCCAGAGCTATGATTTACTGAGCGCTCACAGTCGCCGGGCTATGCAAATGTATTGTTTTTTGTGAGCTAGGTATGGTGATCTCCATTTTCCAGATCAGAATACTGAAGCTTAGAAGGCATGTCTTTAGAAAATGACAGCAAGTTCGAGAAATGTCTGACCTTGAGACTGAACCCCACCAGAGCTTTGGTGTCCAGAAGCCACGCCCATTTCCTCCCTTCTCTTCCCTGCCGGGTCCTCAGTGTGGAGCCACTCTTGGTTTCACCATTGGGCTTTCCTTCTCCCCTTCAGCGGAACGAAATCCACATTCTACTGGTTCTACTTCACGGCTTTCTTGTGAGCTAGGTGTGGTGATCTCCATTTTCCAGATCATTTTCTACTGGTCCTACTTCACGGCTGTCCTGGGTGTACCCCCAGAGGCTCTCTAATCCTAGCCCCCTTGAGGTGAAGCCACACACATCTACCGCCATCCGAGGTCCCATGCTCTGATCCCGTTAGGCTGAGCTCCCAAACACTAAATGAGACAACATTACTGTCTGCAGACACGTTCACAACAGGCTGCAGCTGGCTATTAAAATCTGACCCTCAACAACAGGCGGGCCCAGAAGACACGCCCTTCACTAAGGCTGTAAGACACAACGCGGTGGGAGGGGCAGCAGTGCATTCGAAGGGCTCTACCCTTGCTCTTCTCCTTTACGTCAGAGTTCATCCAATTGACACTCACTGCTGCTCAATTGGATGAATTAACCGTAAGGGGTTTAACTGGGCCCAGAGTAGCTTGGTCCCCAGGGCAGCACTGAATCACCAACGGCCAGGTAAGCTGGAGGTAGTTACTGTCATGGGCAGCGCAGACAAATTCTATGGTGGCAAGCATGACTATGGACCTTGGTACTGGCTAATCAATCAGATAGGATATCTGCTAAGTATTTATTCTCTCTGTCTTTGTCTAATGCATTGTTTCGCTAACATGTTTAAGGTCCCGGTAAAACCATCACTTGTCCATTCTTTGTGTTTCCCACCTAGATTTAATGTTTCCTCTGAATTCCCAGAATGCTTTACTTCTGTTTCATCTTGGACAAACAGAACTATCTGAATAAAGTTACTACAGGTACTTTTCTTATTGTACTGAAAATCCAAGAAAGATAAGGATCTCGGCTATATATATAAAATATTACCATATTAATTTTGATTATTTATTATTTTATTATTGATCATCGATTATTTTCTCACTTATTTCTCATTTATTATTTTCTCAATTATTAATTATATTAATATGTATATTACATATGTGTTTCTGTATATATTAGAAAGCTCAAGAAATATCCTCAACACTTAAGACCGCATAGAGATTGCTCTTACTGCAGGTGGTTTCAAAAGACGCTATGATGAGACTGTTCTGTCACTATAACAAATTCCTGAGATAATCAATCTGTGGAGATGAAAGGTTGACTTTGAGTCACATCTTGAGAGTTTTTTGCCCTCTTAGTCCCTAACTTTGGAGTGGGGTCACACACTGTAACATGAATGGATGGACACTCAGTGGCTGGTACCGCTCACTTCATAGTCAGGAAGCAAACAGAAGAACTGGGTCTTCAAGGGCAACACCTCCAACGACTGGTGTTCTTCCTAAGGGGCCCCACCTCAGTAGTTCCCACCTCCCTCTTAGTGCCAAGTTGGGACTAAGCTGTAAGTACATGGGTCTTGAGAGGATAAGTTGGAATATCTCTTTTTAAACCAAAGAATGGACTTTTGGGATACCAACGCTCCTGTAAGCGAGTCTACAGCCGGGAAAGGCAAAGGTTAGTCACATTGCTCTGGCTGGTGTCTAAGGTCTAATGCAGTCAGTGCTAGCTGTGGGAGATCAAGGAGTCTGTCTGAAACCTGCTGAAGCAGTAAAGATGGCTGAGGCCACTGGGCTGAGAGAGGCTGTTGTGTTGGGTCACGGGAGCAAGATGGAACAGACTGGACATCAGGCAACACTTGAAAAGGTGTTGTCAGTGGGAACCCAATAACGAAAACTTCCTTGTGAGCTGGGCCTGGCCTGAAGTAAGGGGTTAGCAAAGTACAACCTGTGGGTCAAATCTTGCCCTTTGCCCTTCCCTGCCTGGGTAAATAAAATTTTATTGACCCTAGATGAGCCTTTCTGTTCACATGCAGTTATTACTTCTCGATAATGGCAGATCATTGCAGAGGCCACACAGACCCTGTGGCTGTAAAGACGCGGAAACAGAAATACTGACTGTCTAAGCTAGCACAGAGACTACTATCTGGCCCCAGAGTGGGATAGGGGAGCCTAAAGCATAAGATCTCTTTCTAACTCTTGTCTTCTTGCTTGATCTTCCAGATATAACCTGGAGAAGAGGCTTTAGAAGAAACAGCAAGCACATCCACATCATTTCTATCTCTGCTTTTTGTTTGTTTCGGTTTGGTTTTGTCAACTCTAGCTGCTCATAGACCTTATCTGATACTTTCATTTCTTGGTAAGCTAATTTGTACACCCTTATTATTGATCTGGATAAGCAAGAAGCTCCAGTCGACTTCACTTTCTTTAGCTTTACTTCTTCTCTTTTTGAGACCGAGTCTTACTATGTAGACTGGCCTAGAGCTTCCTCTGTAAACCAGGCTAGTCTCAAACTCACTGAGATCTGCCTGCTTCTGCCTCCTGCATGCTGGGATTAAAGACATATTCCCTATGTACAGCAATTTGACTTTTCTACTAGCATGGATATGAGAAAAAACTAGGTCATGACAAACATTTGTGGGCAAATGAGAACCATGATGGATACTTTCATCACTATAGCACTCACAGGTATCCTAATATACACGGTGGCATGTGCCATATGACCTACATGCATGTTAATACATTTTAGTTTGTATCCTACGATGATTGGCTAATATCTATGTTGTTCAGTCCAGGCACACAATCTCAGAGGTCTTTGGTAAGCCTCATGGTTTATCACTGGGTGTCTACCCTTTGAGAGGCCTCAGCCGTCGTCCTCTTAGATGGATGTTTTAGGTTTTTTTAGGGTATGGCAAATTGCATATGGCTGGGTAGAAATTAATTTCCACAAGGCATGGCAAGTCCTTAAAGCACATGTTCCCATTAGAAACAATGCCCAGGTGTCCTCTGTCCTTCTATGTAAGGGTTTAAGATTGTATCAAGCCCAACAGACTATGGTCCTTCGGGGTTGGGCTTTTCTATAGCTTCTTGCTGGCTGCAGAACTCTAAAGCTTGAAGCTAGCTGGGCACTGGCTCTGCCATGGCTCTAGAATACAGGCCTAAAAAGATGATGAGCAAGTACCACAGGCTTCCAGAGTCAGGCTGTAGCCAAGCCTGACTGCTAGCATGCATGTAAGTATTCGTCAGAAGGCCAGGGAGACCTGTGCAAATATTATTTGTGTAGGTGAGCAGCAGAGGGCAGGACCCCCAGCCCTCAGCTACCTCTGCTAGCCAAATGGCCTTCAGTTAGTTCACCTAAAGTACAGAAAGATTGCTGCAGTTAGAGGTCTCCTCTCGGTGTGTCTGTGCTGTATTCAACCAACAGCAAAAACCAGCCCTTCAGAACAAAGAATCATCCGTAAGGTGTTCATTGGGGGATTGGTAAAATGAATTTACAGAATGCCTACACTGCACAAAGGCCAAAATGATTATGGGAGTGAGCCCTGTTTTAACTTCTAATTATATTCCTTATCTGTATCCATTTATTTATTTTAATTTTTTTCTGTTTTCTGTTATAGGTCTGATTTTTCTCTATTACCTATCAAAACAAAGAACAAAACAATTATTTCCCCCCTTTTCTTTCTTTTTTGCTTAAAAAAAAAAAAGCTGGGATGTCATTTAGCCTAGGCTGGACTTCTACATAGCCAAGGATGACCCTGCGTCTTTGATTCTCTTTCGGTCACCTCCAGAGTGTTCAGACCTTCACCAACACTGCTGTGGATGGAACTGGGACTTCAGGCAAGCACTCTGCCAACTGAGCCACATCCCAAGCCCCCACCCCCACCCTGTCTGTTTGTTCTGACAGACCGTCACTGGTTCTGGATGATACTGTGACGGAGAACATGTCATCGGTTTTGAGACTGTGCCTTTTTGTCTGTCACCACCAGAAACTGTGTTCTAAATGGACAGCTGTTTCTGAGCAGTGACTAGGGCAGTGCACGGGGACTCGAGCAAGCTCCATGTGTCCTGGGTAGGTACTGCTCATCCAATCTTAATGGTTGGAAGTCTCTTCCGATTTGGGTTTGGAACACTGGTCTCTGCAGCCGTGTCGGGTGGCTTTGACCCACGGAAACAAGGAAGCTGCTTCAGGAAACTCTAAGGAGAGGAAGGGGGTGCATAATGAAGCCATTGTGGGCTGGGAATAAGTTAGTTTTTCATGAGCAAATTTATTCATCATCTAAAATGCCCCTGCAACCGTTGGAACAACTATATCACGGCACTCCAAGTAAGTGCGGAAGGCATAGGGACTACATTTCAGAAATGAGAAATGTGTGAGATGCTAGAACAGAATCATTTAAAAGCCATCCAGGGGTGGTCTATGGCTCAGTGGGAGAATTGCTTGACTAGCATGCACAAGGCACTGGGTTTGATTCCTAGCACTGAAAAATATTAAATTAAAAGAATTTGAAAATATTAAATTAATTAAACTAGAAAGGTAACTAGGCAAAGTAGCATAATAAAAAAACCCCTGAACTAGAGCAAGGGAGAATCTTGACCATGCCTTTGGCATGAGTATTCAGGCTGGCGAGAGTATGTACAAAATACCTAGACATCAGAAATGAGACTGTCAAGACACAGATCCGTGTGTCTGAGCCCAGAGGCTGCACGGAGGAATAGTGAGTTGGATTCTGAAGTGGAAAGGCCAGACAGTGGCCTCTGGGTCTGGCTGCAGTGTCTCTTTGTAGACAAACAACTCACTAGTTCTCACTGAGCTTCCAGCTCCATCCTCTGTCAAGCTGGGATGGATAACCTGATCTGGGAACTTTATTTCCAAGTCCTGACTGCAGAGAAAAATGAGGAGAGGGTTTCAAGGGTTTCATAAGTCTAAATTTATTGGAAGTAAAGCTCCGCCTTCATCGGGCCATTTAGCACCCGTGCTTTTCTTTGTATTAAAATGTCATGAAAATGTAGTGAAAGTAGATGGCTTACTTTCTAAGTAGCCTCACTTGGTGAGATACAAACGTGGTTACATGATACTCTGTCCCAGATCGCCTCCCTTTACAAAAGTGTGGCTCAGAGAACCAGGGTAAACCTACAAGAGGAGACAGTCCCAGATCTGTCCAGTTTTCACAGTGTGCGCACTCTGACCCCAGGCCTGGCAGGTATTTTTGGAAGCACAGAAGAGAACTGTATTTGCGTTGCTTATAAACTAAGTGGGGGCTCGGAGGTTAAGAACACAGGCTGCTCTTCCAGAGGAACTGCGTGGATTGGGTTTCAAGCACCCACATAGCAGCTCACAACCCTCCATAACTCCAGCCCCGAGGGGTATCCAGCGCCCTCTTCTGGCCTCAGTGGGCACTGCATGTACATGGCCCACAGACACACATATGCAGGCAAAACACCTACCTCCCCACACAAACAAATACTAACAGGGGTGTTTGTGTGGCCCTTCACAGTCCAAGGCCACCCTATCTCTTGCAACTCAACTCAGCACTGGTCCTCTCTCCTCAGACTGCTCCTAAACCTGGCTGCCTCTACTGGTGTTTTGTCTCCACTATGTTATGTCTTCCTGGTCAGGCCAATTCCGGTTCCCATGACTACCCAGCATCTAGTGTCATCCTTAACTTCCAAGTTGTTCTTTGTCTACTCCACATCCTCCTAAGACTTAACTGCTCCTGTGTCTCTTCTTCTCCTGAGACCTCCACAGACTTCTCTAATGCCTTTGGAAGACTCTTCTATGTCACTCTTTAGGCCTATGAGCCACGAGACCTTGCTTCGTTCTGACCCACAGATATTTACTCAGCTGAAATATACTGTGTTTGATATTGATTTGAAAGAAAACGTTGTTTCACATCAGCCTGCTCTGATAAAATTAGTAGCTACTTACACATATGAACCCCCAAGATTCAGGAAGCTTCCCCACCCCCGACCCCCCACCCCCGTCCCAAATTCCTTCTACACTGTCTCCTTGTGCTTCAAATCCCACCCCTGGAGTTTCAGTCCGTCGCTGGCAGCTTTCAGTGTGAAAAGTTAATCAGGACATTTCAGGATTGATAGAGGGAATGGAGGAGCGAGCCTAGGAATATAGGTGGGGGAGGGGGGAAGAGCCTCTAGGAAGCCAGGTGAGCTGGGGGGTGGGGTTGGGCGTAGGGGGCTCTTGTTCTGGTGTCCCTGGAAGGAGTTCAAAGGCTACCAATTTAAAAAGCCGTCAGCTTCTATCAAGAGGTTTAGTGCGGACACTGATGGTATGGCCCAGGTAGTGCTCCCATAGTCTGCTGAAAGTCCTCCTTCTTTAAGAAAAGCCAGTGAAATCCAAATGAGGACTGACTGACTGGCTGGGAAATACTCACCAGATTCCTTGGAGAAGACAAGCGGGCTGGGTAAAGGGGCTGCCTTTGGGGTGGGTAAGAGGGGGCCCAAGAGGGTCCTGGGAATACACGCGGTGCTAGCCTAGGGTGTTGCAGGCGCAGGAGCGCAGGCATTCGGGGGACACGCCAGGGAGAGGTGATGGACCAGGATGGAGGTCAAGGCCTGTGCTCGGTTTTCCCAGGGGGAGGGCAGGCCCACCCTAGGAACGGAGATCTTTGACTAGCAAGAACTGAATCCCTCAGAGCGTCGCGCTGGGAGGACCCTACCGCCCAACCCAGACTTGGGACACTTGGGGAAACTTTCCAGACTGGCTTGTGCTAAGCCTCTGGCAGCGGATTCCGCGGAACTCCTGGCGGGACGAGGGTGCAGACCGGGCGTGCGGGCGTGTGGGTGTGTGCATGAGCGTGGACACGGAGCGACACACACTCACACACACACACTCACACGCCCGCACCCACGCAGGGCCCTCGGCCGCGCCGCCCGCGCCTCCCCCGACCTTCGTCCCCAAGCAAGTTGCTTTCTCGGGACCTTTCTCCGTCGGTGACATCTCATGACCCGCAGCGGACAGGGGTCGCGGCGCTCTGGTCCCCTCCCGCCCAGGAAGGGGATGGGGAGAGGGTGCCCCGGGCTCTTACCGCTTGGCCGGCCGAGTGCGCGCGGGAGCCCCGGGTCCCGCCCCGCCACGTCGGCAGGACCAGCGGGGACGCGGCCGCAGGGGAGGGACCGGCCGAGCTGCCCCGCCCCGGGCCGCCCTCCTCCGCCCCTGCCCGGCCCCACTGCGCCCTGACCCGCTGCGAACTCTGCTGTCCCAGCTCGGTGGTCCGGACAGAGCGCGGAGTCCCCTGCCTTCCGTTACAAAGCACCGGGGAAGCCCTGCACGCTCCAAGGAAGGAGTCCCCTAGCCTCACTGTGGGATTCCTGGGTTCTAAGTTAGGTGGACTTCTCTGACCACGTCAGCGATGACAGTGGGATGTGATTAGAAACAAAAAGAATCAATCAAACGAGCCACGCTTTCTAGAAGACCAGCTTGGAAATATGGCTCAAAGCCCAAATTCATTCTCTTTGGCCTGGGAACTGCACATCTGCCTCTGGCGTGGAAAAATGTATTTGTCCTAAGCAGACAAAATCTCATTCTCTCTCTCATTCATATTCTCTCTCTCTCTCTCTCTCTCTCTCTCTCTCTCTCTCTCTCTCTCTCTCTCTCTCTCTCTCTCTCATTCTTTCTCGTTCTCTCTCATTCTTCCCCCGCCCCGATGGCAGCAGGGGGTAGGGTAGGGTGAGGTGGAGTGGGAGTGGAGTGGGGTTTGCTCCACATAGTTTCTCTGTGTCTCCCTGGCTGTCCTAGAACTCACTCTGTAGACTAGCCTGGCATTAAACTCAGAGATCTGCCAGCCCCTGCCTGGGATTTAAAGGTATGCATCTCCAAGGCTTGACTGGTCACCATTTCTCATGGGCACCCTCCTTTCTGGCCTTCTCTTTGTAAGCTGCACTCTCTTTTTGGCCAGCTTTCGTTTGTGTGTGTGTGTTCCTTTCCTTTGAAGAGTTGCTTGTGCGTGTCTGTGCAGTTGCAAAAACAAACAAGCAAACAAGCACCTGTTAGAATAGAACTTTGTGCGCTTGGGGGCATTTTTCACCACCATGGTGTTCTTAATTTTAAGTATACAGTTGTTGGTGTGATGGTTTGTATGCTTGGGCCAAGGAGTGGCACCATTAGGAGGTGTGGCCTTGTTGGAGGAAGTGTGTCACTGTGAGCATGGGCTTTAATATCCTTGTCTTAGCTGCCTGGAAGCCAGTCTTCTAGCAGCCTTCAGATAAAGGTGTAGAACTCTTAGCTCCTCACAATGCCTGCCTGGATGCTGCCATGTTCCCGCCTTGATGATAATGGACTGAACCTCTGAACCTGTAAGCCAGCCCCAATTAAATGTCCTTATAAGAGTTGCCTTGGTCATAGTGTCTGTTCACAACAGTAAAACCCTAAGACAGTTGGCTTTTGCTAGTTTGTTGCTTTTTCTTTTCTTTTTCTTTTTAGGAAAATGAGAAAAAAACTTTCAGAGGAAGAGGGGCTCTGAGTGGGGACATTCTGATACTTCTGGATTTCTAAGCTAGGTAAGGTATTTCCATTTGCTTCCATTAACTTCACTTGTTTGTTTCCCTCTGATATTGAGGCCACTAAACAGGGCTGAAAGTCGTACCTGGTCCAACCTGCTATTGGTACTGAGTGTTCTGAGCCCTTAGGTTCTGGTTCTCATTGGTTGCTGGCAGGCTGTATTGCTTGCTAACTATTGTTTGTCCTTTCTAAATCCTCTGAAGTGCACCTTTGTGTGGGACAGCAAGTTTTCTTTTATTTTAAATCACATAATGAGCCAGTTTTAAAAACCTCTTTCTACTAAAAAGCTGTTAATTTTCTAGTCTGATTTTCACAAAAGCATGTCAATCTCTTTTAAAAATTTTTGTGGGGATATGTCATTCCTTTGAATTTTAAAATATTCAAATAATGTGTGATATGGTATGGCCTACAGTTTTTTTTCCTGATTTTTTTTATGCCCATCAGTGAATTTGGACACAATAATATTATGAATTTAGTCTCAACTGAATAAAGAATTTCTTTACCTAAAAGTTAAATAAATTATGAATTCAAAATTAAAGAGAATGGCTATGACCTCATTCCTATCCCTTCAATGTCACTATCACACGTCATCACCATCACCGCCATCACCATCATCATCATCATCACCACTTTGTCAGGACTAGGGGTAAATACAGGGCTTTGTACATGTGAAACATAAACTATATTCCTAACCCTTTCTTATTTTTTCTTCTTATTTTGAGACAGGGTCTTGGTAGGTTGTCTAGGTTGTCCATCAACTGGTTACGTAGCTCAGGCAGTTCATGAACTTGTCACTAGGATTGCAGGGGTGTGCCACTGGATCGCTACCATTTTTAAGCCCCTGGATTCTACTGTGGTCCCTTTCCGCTTACATAAACACATATATACATAGGCAGGGTTTTTTTTTTTTTCATAAAAATTCCGAGAAGCTGATGGTGGCCATGATGGGCAAGCCTATAAAGCCAGAATTCAGAAGACTGAGGCAGGAGAATTGCAAGTTTGAGACCAGCCAGGGTCACACAGCAAACTTGAGACTAGCGTGAGCTGCATAGCGACACCTTGTGTCAAAAGTTAAAAAAATTAAGGCAAGATTATGATATTTTTTTCCTTACTGATAATAATTGTTCTTGGTCAACATGAATCAATTAAAGCATTCTGCTACAATCTACATCATGTTTTGTTTATATAACAATGTATCTGATTACAGTTAGGTCACTTTGGGTTCCTTCCTTATATTTTCCCTACGGAATAAAGAAATTGAAGCTAATTAAACCTATCTGTTTATTTATTTACTTTCTTTGTGTTTTCAAGACAGAGCTTTACTGATAGCCCTGACTGTCCTGGTACTCTTTCTCTGTAGACCAGGCTAGCCTCAAACTCAGAGATCTATCTACCTCTGCCTCATAGAAAAGCTGGAAAGTTATCTGGATGTGACTGAGGATAGAAAACACTTTAATTCAAGGTTGGTTGAAGTAGAAAATTTTAATCCTGATGTGGGGTTTTTACCTTGCCTTTGACAATTTAGTTCCCAGATGAAAGACACACCTTTATATTTATAATAACCTTTATATTTAAAATAAGCCTAAGTCAGCACAATAGCTGGGCGGGTATCTACCCTCCATGCTGTTAGAATCTACTTTCCTATCGAAAACCCTGAGTTATTACTATGTTTCATCTGGGCTGCTCTTAACTCCTATTAACCAGCCTGCATCTCATGGTTTTCCTCTGACCCCAAGCCAGGAAAACCTAAACCCCACCTACGTCTCTCCTGCCCAGCTATTGGCTGTTGGCATCTCTATTTACCAATCAGAAATAACTTGGGAGCAGGGTCGCTTAGGTTTACTTGCAGACTACGGGTCTTGGGGGCCGAATTTAGCATCACGGTAGACAGTAAAAGACAAAACAGCTGGTCTTTGTGAATTGAGCCAGAACTTAAAAACCTAATCTAGTGCTTGCCTCTGGTACCCCACTTTCTATTTCAAAAATAGACCACAGAGCACCCCCATTCCACTCCTACTGTTTCAGTCCTGAAACTGACTCTTATTAAAATGAGTCTCAGGTGGAACAGGAATATTTCAATGAATCACTGACTTCAGCGACCTAGAGAGAGCCATTGCCTCTGCTGTAGCTGCCGCTCTGCTGAGGGGCAGCAGCCTAGTCAAACAGGGAGCCTTTCCTTATGCAGCTAAGAATTCTCACCCAGATAATCCCAGCAACACGGTTCCCAGTGCTCCTGCTGAACTGTAAACCACACCCTTTGTGTTCAAAGGCGGCCATGTCCAAGCCAGCCCGGTCTTTTCAGATGGATTACTTTTTTTGCAAGAATTTTTTTTCATTGCTTTAAAATATCTTGAACTGTTTAAAAACACACAGAGAAGTGAAAGATAACAGGACAAACACTCATGTGTGGGCACAAAGGGGAGATAGTGTCATGACAGTGCTAAGATGTATCAGGTTTTAAATTTTTTGACATATTTATTTTAGAACCTTTATTTCAAAGGAAAAAACGTTAAGGATCTTCGTGAAAGTCCTTTCCTTTCTTCCCCTGCTTTCCCTGAAGGTTGGCACTGCCCTGTGGTAGTTCACCCATGTTGGTGTGTGCTTATTGCCAATATCCTTACCTAAAAATGTATAACAATTATTTAAAACACTACAAATGATTTAAATAATGGCTAAATAAATCTGTAAACGATTTAGAAATTTACAAATAACAATAGATACTTGTTAATTCAACATTAACTTCTTTGTTTATTTGAGATAGGGTCTTAGGTATCCCAGGCTAGCTTCAAACTTGCTGTGTAGACAAAGATGACCTTAAACTCCCGATTCTCCTTACCCTACCTCCCAAGTGATGGATTACAGGAATTCTCCACTATACCCAAGTTATAAGTATTGGGAATCAAATCCAGGGCATCCTGCATGCTAGGCCATCACTCTACCAACTGAACCCCAGTCTGAGGATCAATCATGTTCATATATGTAGCTCTAGGACACTCATTTTTGATGTCCTTTATACATCAATTGTATGTCACAATGTAGCAATTTCCTAGTTAGTGGATATTTCCTGTGCTTTGTATTTTACTCATTTATAGAGAAGGCTGCAATAACTGTCTTTGTATATATGCTCCTCCAAGAGGTTAAACTTGAATTGTTGGGCTGCCTTTACCAGACATGTCCTAATCTCTGTCCACTGTGATTCAGCAGGGCCGAGCAGTTTATTCAACGTTTTTCTTTTTTCACGTGTGTATGTGGGGTGTGTGTATGTGTGTGCACATTTGCATGTGTGTGTACACATGTGCGGAAGGGTGCATAAATGTGGTATACAAGATATGCAAGCACAAGGTGGATGTTGGGACCCATTCTCAGTTGCTCTCTTACCTCAGTCAAAGAGACAGGACTCATTGTTCAAACCGAGAGCTCACTGATCTGTCTAATTTCAACAGCCAGCTTGCTCTAAGAATCCCATCTCTGCCTTTCAAGGCTAGAATTACAGGTGGGCTGCTAAGCCCACCCAGTGTTCACTTGGACTCTGGAGATCTAAACACC